GACTGAGTAGCAACAGCACGAGGAGTTGGGTAATGTCGCAGTCATAAGTCAACTGTTCAATGTGGATAACCCATCGCAGTAGGCGTGTTCAAATCGAAGTGGGAGTTTTTGCCAAGGTAGGCATGTTCACATCACGTCCGAAGGTCACCCATGTGGGGATGTATTTATCAACAATGTTAACCTTCATCTATGAAAAGGTACCCCAACATAGAATCGTCATCATCTTCAATATTTATTTGGGCGCCTGGGGCCGTTAGCAGCCTTTTCCCCATTCGTCTTGAATTGTGATCTTTAGGGTGGTTCTTTCTGGTAATTGGAATGCAATTGAAGTAAAAGGAATTTAAATATTTTGAATTTTAAATAAAATTACGTCACTGCAAAAGTAAGCTGCCATCGGCCAGAGGTTTACGTCTTCTCTTAAGTTTTCGAAAGTAAAAATTTCGTTGAATCCTGTGGTGTCACAATTTATGGTTTTTTCAAAAAATCTGAAATTTAGCTTTGCAATATGATGATCTATGTTGAGGTCGCGATGTATATGTTTTTATTTCTGATAAACCATCTTGCTTTTGTTATTTTCCTGAGGATTTTGTTCTGGCATGTCTTGAGTTTTTTAAGGAGTGATGTGGAGATGTTGCACCAAGCTGGAGATGCATAAGTCAGGATGGGACGGATGTAGAGTAAGCGTCCATTTTGGGGTTCTGAAGACCAACATAGAATCGAGTTATCTTGTCTTACAACTAGTGAGTTGGAATTGTATTTTGTAGTGGTAGATATACACTACAGATTTATTCATTACAATGATTAAGAGCAAGACATATCCAATTAAAATAGAAACTTTTTTTGAGGTTCATCTGGCATAATGCTCGAGACAAAGTCGTATTTTAAATATAATTTAATAGAGCAATTTTCTCATATTTATTACGTGGGTCTGACCTAGAAAAGCGGGGGCACGAAGCTGTTAGGGGTTAGCCTAAACCAAATTTCGATGTTGTTGAATCGAGAAGAGTTTTTAGATTTAAGCAAATCACGATAGATTAGTAAATTTAAATTTTCGTTAACTCTTATTTCTAATATACAATATTTAAGGAAAAACACGAATAGAATATTTGTAACATTTAGGGCTCCCCCCTATGCCTTATTTTAAACCTCTGTTTTTTTTTAAATCAGGCACTGTGTTTATACAGGGTATCTGCTACATTTTAGATTTTCAAATCCATGACTCATTCCAAGAATTTTTCATGACTTAAGGAAGTCACTATTTTCTACGAAAAAAACAACAATGAATTTAAAAAACAGAGTAAAGAAAGAGTTGAAGCCATAAAATAGCTGAAAAAAAAATACAAAAGCTAATAATTTTTTTTCCTTTTTGTCTGCAGAATTATATTCTAAAAATACTTTTCTTGTTCATCGGAAAGGAAAGAAATACTCCTGATTTTTCTGTTCTCATTTCGGAATAAAAAATAAAAAAAACTCGCCAATGACTGGCTTGCTTCAGCTAGAATTTTAAATTGATACAATTAAAAAAATAGTAACAAAAATTCTGAAATCACAGAAGTTTAAAAGATAATTCCTTCTAGTAATGATATTTTTTCTCTCATTTTTTGAAAGAACACGATAAAAACATTTTATGTAAAGCATAAAATGTTTTTATGGTGTTCTTTCAAAAAATGAGAGAAAAAATATCATTACTAGAAGGAATTATCTTTTAAACTTCTGTGATTTCAGAATTTTTGTTACTATTTTTTTAATTGTATCAATTTAAAATTCTATCAATATAAAATATGACTGTGAGTGGGGATTTTGTTAGAAATTCAGATATTCGGAACACCAGGAAATTAAAAATTAGATTTTTCGGCGACCTAAAATCTAAATCCATGACTTTTTCTACAAAAAAAAAAAAAAAAAAAAACAAAAAAAATNAAAAAAAAAACCAGTTAAAATCATGACAAATTTTGTTCAATACCGAAATTCATGACTTTCCAGGTGCCCTGTTTATACCTTGGAGGGAGGGAGGCACATTATTTGTGATAAAAACGTTCAGTATTGATGCAGTTTTACTAAGTACCAAATTTACTCATAAAATAATTTGTACCTATATCAGAGATGCCAACTTGCTCCGGACAGCAAATATAAATTTTTTAAAGTGGTAATTTATGAATTGTGATTCTTGGTTTAATAAATTTAATTTAGTAGATTTTTATCCACCACTATTTCTAAACTATTCATACGCTTATATAATTCATCACTTTATAGTACTTATGTCATTCTATACCTTTTAAAAAGCAAGCAAAAATAGTCAAATATTTGCAAAATTTACTTTCTGGATATTTACCGTTTTTTTTAAAAAATTATTTTGGTTTGTCTGGAGCAGTTGGCATCTTTGCTATATTAGTATATAGATAAAACTGCACAAATAACCCTATACTAGTAGAGCAAGTTACTAAAAATAATTAACCGTAATAATAGTACGGCAGTTTTTTTCTCTAGACGAATCAATTCTATTTCTCCATGAATTAGGCAGTTTACATAAAAATTTCTCTTTTTTTTTTTTTTTTTTATTTNGCTGAAATTACCCCTTATTTAAGAAACTTCGCTAATATCTCGAAGGAAATTCAGGACATTGTTGAACAAAAACAGGATCAACGAAAGAAGTATGCAGATCAAGAAAGAAGAAAATGTCCCCAATACACACCTGGCGATCAGTTTAAAAAAAAAAAAAAAAAAAATAATGATTGTATGATAATTTTTAAAGCGAGGGAGAAGTGAAGTGATACTCAATGTAAATTCAGCAACCATCGTATTATATACAATCGCACAAAACACGTATGCAGTCCCACAATGCAACAGCAAAACCACAGCTGATCCAATTTTTGGGTTTACGACTTCTTATGTTCAACTTCGTAATTTTGAACCCAATCCAGAAGACAAGGGAAGTCCTGGATCAAGTATTGGGAGAAATTTTGCCTTCGTGGAGGACTTTTTGATGGAACTAACCCGCATTTGCGTTACATGGAGAGGAAGACCACGAGAACCTCCCAAGGTTAGCCTGACGCCAAAGGGACTCTAACCCTTGATTCGTCAACCACTGAGGATTTTTCACGTCAGCACCGTGGTCGGTGCAAGACGGATTCGTATCGACCAGCCATTGGTGAGATTCGAACCCGGTTCACCTCATTGGAAGGCCCTGTGACATCACGGCTCATGTAAAACAATTGGTGCTTTCATACGCTATGACTAATGGAAATGTTGAATGAATTGTGAATAGGCTGAACAATGAGAAAAGCACACTTTTGTGTAACACATATCGAAAATTAAGCACTTTTCAAAAACACCCAATGAAAAAAGCACCTATAAAAAACGAAAAAAATAAGCACCTTTAAAAACGCTACGCACCATGCTGCATAGAGCAATTTATGTTTCTCCGAATTAAATTTTTTGTTTCTCCGAATGTTTACGTTTGACACATTAAACTTTTTTAAAAAAAAATACAAAAATTAATTTAAAAAAAGTTATAACTTTAAAAAGTGTCAAGACTAAAATTTTTAAAAAAACAATCCTTTAAATGATCGCGGTTGCCACTCAAACCTGGAAAAAAAATTTCCCTGTACATATCATACGCACTATATTAAGAGGAAACAACGACTGTGCCGTTGTGTGAGCTACAGTGGGCTAACTATATTAATCAGTTTCAATTGCTGGAAAAACGCTGAACATACTTAAAATAGTGCTATAGTACAGAGGGGGCCAACTTGCGGCTCTTTGAAGGATTATTTGTGGCTCTCGATAAACGTCCCGAGTTCCCTTTTCATTTTTGTGCTACAGTATGGAACCGATTATCCGGAACGATCGCTGTTCCGGATAACTGATTTTTCCGGTTTTCTGAATCGCTACAAAAAGCCGTTTTTTTAATTGTTAAACACAACTAAAAAAAAAATTATTGGGAAATAATCTTAAAAAGAAGAAAAAACGATGAAGTAATACACTAATGATTATTTTCAAAATGATGGTAATCTTTCAAAAAAGAAAGAAAAATCCTAAAATATTATGAGGAAAAAAAATATTGTTTTAAAAATTGCGTGATAGTTTATTAATTTTCGCTCCGGTTTTTTGGTTTTCTGATTTCCGGATAACGGGTCCTGTACTGTATTATATTTTTAAAAAATATTATCATTCCGTATGTGCTTCAAAATGTCTTTTAAATTATTAACAGCAAATATGAAAGACTAAGTGCAACGCAGTCACAAATTTCATACTTACAATGTACTTATGTGAATCATTTAATTCCACTTTAAAATTCGTGAAATCCGAACACCGATCAGCATTTACTAACCAGCATCTTAAAGAATTACCGAGAAGTGCTGTCACCCATTATTCACCAAATTTTAAAGAATTATCAAGAGAAGTAAAATAAATGTTTAATTTTTAAATTCAATACACATATTTCGTACTTTTATTTATATGTTTTCAATAAATATAATTTTTGTAAAAATTTCTTTTTTTAATACCTTTTAAATACATATTAGATTGCGGTTAGAGAAAAATTTCAAATAATGGCTTGACTATCAAGGAGCTTGGTCACCCCTGCTATAGTATATGAAATAGTTTAGTATAGCTGAAATATCATGGTTAAATATCCCATAGATTACACTTATCCCATAGTGGTCACCATATTTTATAAGACAAAATTAAGAAACAAAACTCCCCGTATTTTCCCGGTTTGAAAAGAAAAAATTCCCAGTTATTTTAGGTGATTTTTAAATACCCTGTATTCTCCAGGTTTTCCCCGTGGATTGGCAACCCTAAAGATATTACAATAAATCACATCTTGTCATGCATCACTCCATGCCTACAGGAATAATATCAGACATTTGCTATCTCGTGATCAAAAATAGGGGACATAAAGTATTTTTTTATGGCTGTTTGCAATATGGGGAGGGAACTTGTTTGTTGGCAAGGAAAAGCAAGAAGTGAAGCCATTACAGAAAATCAAAACAACCACATTTATAGTGAAAAAATTTATTTGTATTCACTCATACTTACAGTCCAATATTAAATTTAAAAATAAAAAAAAATCAAATTCTAACAAAGATTCTGACAAAACACTCATTTTACTTTTTTTCTTTTTAAAAAATTTGCTAAGAAATAACATTTCTTATAAATAAAAGAAGTTTTTCCAATTTTAATTAACAATTGTAAATAATTGCAAATAGACAAAAATAGGCATAGGACTATTTTACACTGTTTGTCCATCATGATAAGTGAAATAATAAAATGCTTTAAATGCACCTGAAATTGAAAAAATAAAGTGCAAAAAAGAGTTTCGTTTATGACTGATGAAAGAACTCTTCACATATATACATTTTAATTTAAAAAACAACTAAGGAACTTTCAACATAGTCTGTTCTTCGTCGTCAAAACTGTCAAAAATAGAATTCTGTGGGTTTTCCTCTTCACAAGAGGGTGAGGACGAGTCGACGGAAGCGTCCGATTTCAATTTTTTGTGCTTTGAATGTATAGGCGAACTTAGAGTTCTTTTTTGGTTTTCTTTGGTGCACCCATCAGGTGTATCATCTGAAAACAGAATAATTTTAACATTCAGTTTAAAAATAACACTTCAAGAAGTTAAATACTAAATGAATAACTAACTATAGTTCAAAGATAAACCTTTTCCCACAATCAGTGGCGTAGTTTTATTGTATGTTTGGAGGGGGTTACGCCTTCTGACATGCATATATACACACCTGCCAATTTCTACAGTTGATGAAAAAGATTTTTTAATAATTAAACTAATTAAAAATTTAAAAGCTAAGTAAGCTAACAAATAGATCATATTTACATATTTTTTAATTATTGACTTGCGTGGTAGATTGAAATGCTTTAAAAAAAAAAAAAAAACTTTAAATTGAAGATTTAATACGTCAAACATCTATTATGTTGCAACTACTAAGAAGTTCTTTTCTCGACAGTTTGCAGCTCTCTATATATGTGTGTGTTTTAATTATTATTATTATAATAAATAAAACACACACAATAAATTAAACATAATATACACTGTTTAATTTATTTAATTAATATATAATGTTTAAATTACGAAAAAAATGAATGATGAAAATTTTATATGTCTACATCTTAATCACTGTTACCTGTGGCAGAAATTTTTTTGAGCTATCTGTGACTCTCTAGCACTAATATCTTTCTGCAAGATTTCAAATACTAACAAACATATATGTTACCAATTTAAAACAACAAATAAGCTGTGATTATAAAAAAAAATAAATAATAATAATAACAATAAATTTTTTAATTGAACATGTAATAATTTTTTATTCTTATAGTATGGGTGATATTCTCACATTTTGTTGAGGAGAAAATGCACTTAGTACTTATTTCTTCACATTTTGTAAATAATCATCACAATAAAAAAAAGATCGTAATAAACAATATCGTATAAAAAATATCGGATTTAAAAACTACGAGAAATTAATAGTAATAACTTCCAAAAATTGGATAGAAATATTACCTTAAAAAATAAATACTTAAATCCAGGATTCAAATTTTCCATATTGTTTGAAATATATCGAGATGTTTGTCATGTGAACAAACATGTGAAACATTACGTCGATTTACAATACTATCAGTGTAAATTGGGAGCGTCAAAAAGTGATTATCTAAATGTATGATTTGAATATTACATTTCTGTAAAAAAGAAAAGCAAAACATTTCAGTTTTCAAAAGAAAATCTTTCTGCAAGAACTCTATAAAGTTCTGCGACAATGTTGCCGTGTCGCTGCAATTCTGCCACGAGGCTGAATAGTTATAATATATCAAATGATCTTTAAGTATAAATAGTACCATGTTATTTGAAAAGGCAGTAGACGGTTTCAATAGTTTTGGCAATATTTTTTAAAATACATATTATGAAACATGATTATATTAGTAATTATGATGCAAGTATTGTGCAAGATTGAAACAGTTATGTAGCACTTCTAATACTATGCGTCTCAAATGACAGAAAAGAAACAGGTTTATAACAATTTTAGCCAGATTTCAATAGTTCAGGCACTTTTCGGAGGATTTTTGACGAATATTAAAAATGATTCTTACAAAGTATCTGAATAGAAAACTTTTATTCTCAAAATGACTGAATTTTCATTTTCAAATGTATGATTAATTTTATAAAACAGTAAAATATTTGTTTAAGTGGTCAGCAGCCTTAAAGCTTTTACAATTTTTGAGCTGAAAATCACGTCATTGGAAAAAAAAAAAACTTATATAAGTTTAAAAATATAAATACCATTCAATTAATCATCATTGGTATCAATAATAGTTTGGAGATATTTCATATTTTTCCTAACATATTACACCATTTCGCCATTAGTTTTGCATTTCTGTCTATAACTTATTTTCTTAAATTCAATTCCAGTTGATTTTAAGTTATTTAGTTTTATAGAAACACATTTCAAAAGCATAATTTTATACAAAATAAATATGTGGTTCAAGATTAATTATTATGCATTTAGTTTACCAGACATAACTACTAAAAATAAAATATTAAAGAATGTACATTAAACTCTTTTTTTTGCAAAATAGAGCTATAAGCTAGTAAACACCACCGATCAATTCAATTATGAAATCCAATCGAAAAGCCCCTTTGGCAGAATCGCGACGACATTGTCTCAGAATGTTACCGAGTTCTTGCAGAAAGATCTTTCTTTTGGGAAGAAAAAATTTTGGTTTTCTTTTCTGCAGAAATGTAAATTTGAATTGCACATTTAAATTATCACGTTCAATTTTAGTATTACAACTGTATTTCCGGCAGTGATGGATTTTAACGTGGTATTTAATTATCCAGATATATTGCAGGCGATATGGGAATTTTGAATTGTGTATTCGAATATCTACTTATTAAGGCAATGATTCCATCGCTTTTTTGGAAATTATTACTTTTGATTTTCATATAGTTATTAAATTCTGATATAATTTATAACAACAATCAAATCTTGAAACAAACGAGCATTTGAGTAACTTATTTGAAGAACCCAATTCATGTGATTTTGTCATCCATCTGTGTTTTGGTATTTACTGCTATGGATTTCATGATGATTTTTAATTATTTTTTTAATGTGATAATGATTTACAAAATGCAATAAAGGAAATAATTAGCGTAATTTCTCTTCAACTAAATGCCAGAATATCACCCATAATATTAGAATAAAAAATATTACATATTCAATAAAAATAATTTTTTAAACACAGAGTTTTTATTACTTTAAATTAGTAACATACACATTTGTTATTATTACAAGTATCTTGCAGTAAGATTCTGCCACAGGGCGAGAAGCATGGATGACTCAACAACTGATGGGAAGAACGGATAAATAGCGGTTTTGAGCTGCAAGTTAAAAAACATTTTCCATCCATCGGGTTGGAAGTAAAAAAGAGCCTCTTCTAATCCTAGACAATTGTAGGGCTTACAAAGAGCCTTAAATAATGGAAAGGGCAAACATTTCTGTCGTTTTTGCTACTCAATTGCACCTCCATTTTGCAGCCTATGGATAATGACATGTTAAATCCCTCAAATGCAAGTATAAGACTGAATTTTGAAAGTTGATGCTGACTGCTTTAAATGGAGGACAGATTTCACAAGACTTTATCAAAAATTATTCCATAAAGACTGCAATATGGCAAAAGCATAGGAAGAAATGGACGAGAAAACACTAAAAAATGCGTGGCACAAGATATTGCAATCAACTATTTTTCTTTTTATAAAAGTGCTGGGATGCTGATGATGCTCCAACAACATCAAAATTAACGGATCAAAAGCGTGGTGTTCAATAAACAGGACAGTGATACCGAGAGTGTGGGCAGTGACAACGGGCCGGAAGATCGGATTTCTATGGACGATATTGTTTTGCATTTAGAAAACTCCATTAAAGGGTTTGAGCTCCAATCAAGAGATAATGTCTCTCTGTAGAAAAAGTTATAAAAACATAAGGTAAAAAAGAAATAGCTTTCTCTAAAAGATATGTTTAAAAAATAAAATATTTATACTGATTACGCATTTTTATTAGGAGTTTTTAATTTCTATATACGTTAAATGCTTGATCCTTAATTTATGCAAGCATTATTTTTTTTAAAATTTTGTTTTATTCAGATGGTTGAAATTGTGATTTTTCTGGTTTATTTTCTTTTTTTATTGTCATTTCAATGCTTTTCTAAATGAGTGGTTGTGATTTAAAGAGATAGATTATTTACGTGATGTGTTATTTACTCATGCTATGCTTGTTTTAAATCATGCAGCTTTTCCCCCTGTATATGGTTGAGCAAGCAATTCCTCCTTCCCCATTGCATTATCAATACATTCATTTTATCACAGTGTGTTTCACTTTATTTCAGTAAATTATCAATTTTATGTATTGCTTAATGGTTTTTATATTTTTCCCATTTGGCGCAGTGTTCGAAGTTACTGTATTTTCAACATAACAATATCTCTACATTATTCTTGATTAAAAACAGCCGCATTCCCATTAAAAAATTTTCTATTTTTATTTCATTTGAGAAGAGTATAGTGATGTATTTTTCTTATATAATTTCCATTCAACCTGTCGTTCATGGATATGCGTGCACAAAAGCGAGGCGAAATCTTCGACACTGTTTCGACAGCCGCTGACCCGAGAACCACCCATTCTTTTCTGTCATACGTTTGATGGTTGGCCGATAATTGGAGAAGGAAACTGAGAACTTATCACATTTTGTGTAGTGTGATAAGATTTTTTTTTCACAGTCAATAAAGAATTGTTCAATTTCATAGTCTAGTCAAAAATTTAGATGAAATTTTTTGTTTGTCTGATTGTTAATTTTGCCCTGATTACCTAAGTCAAATTTTGGAGGTTTGTGGGTCATAAAATCATTTAAGTATCACTTTCAAAGAGATGATAAAGGAGCAAATATAAATTATGAAGAATTTCTAACTGTCATAACACAAATTGAGGCCGTGTTAAATTTGCGACCACTTTGTCTTTCAAAGCAGATGATTACTTAACCATAATTATATAATCCATAACACTTTAAATTCTAAACATCAAATAACTTACCAGATTCACTGTTTATAGCATCAGGAGATTTTTGGTCTGTATCCAACTTATCCTTTACTAGAGAATTACATGAAATATTTTCCTAATAACAATAAATATATAACATTAAAATGAAAGATAAAAACTTCTTTATGATAAAAGAAACAGCATGATGACAAACATGCAACCATTTTATGTATCAGAAGCGAATCAAGAAGCCCTTCATATTAAAGGTGACACATATTGTTCACCTTTGAAGATATCATAAGCACTTATTTTTATAACACATCATTTTTTAAAAAAAAAATTAGCTGTATAATAATAGTGTAATAGTAAAATAATAATATAATAGTAAATAAATAATATAACAGTAAATAAGAATTTATCTAAAAAATTGCAAAAATTTTGAGTCAAAATATGTATTTACAGTCACTGGCGAAATTATTAGACTCACTATAAGATTCTATGTAAAATTATAATTATCAGGTGACAGTTTTATTGTTTTTACGCGACTGAAACCACCTTGCACTTGTTTATGTTCGTGCATCAGTTGGGGTTAACATTGTAAAGCAATACGTTAAAAATAAATACAAATAGGAAGTATATAAAAAATCATATGAATCTTACTCATGACATATATGTTTAAATATAAAAGTATTGCCTATAAACTCATGCCAATCATGTCATTATTAAAAAAACTAGTGCGTCTAAAAATTAGATCCAATTATTATAATATACTAATATAATGCCTGATATAATAATTATTCCATATTTATATAATAATCGTCTCATTTAACCCACTTATACACCAACGTAAACAAGTGCAGACCTGTTAAAGCCGTGTGAAAACAATAAAGCCGTAACATATCACCTGATAATTAAGATTTTACATAGAATCTTATAATGAGTCTAATAATTTGTCTGGGGACTGAATGTGAAAATAAATATATGGTAATAAAAATACAGCTCGACAAAATTTCCCAAAAACATAGAAGTTAGAAGAAGAAGAAAAAAAAAGATTTTCTTTAAATATTTTTGTCCTCAGTTATGAAAAAAAAAGTGGTAATAAAAATTTCAATCTAAAAGCAATAGTGCAGTATTTAAGAAGTAAAGAACATACTTGATATTTTTTTAATTGTTTACAAACTTGTTCTTTAGAAGCTGGAATGATGATGGGTACTGGTATTGGCACAGGAAATGGAACGGGACACGGTACAGGCCTCGAAAACATATGCAATGGAGTTGGTACGTAAACTGGTATTGGGACTGGAAGAATGATAGGCCTTGGACTGTCATCTAGAAAAATTATTTTAATATACTTTAGAATAGTATTTTGTTTGTAATGAGGAAGTAATGTAAAATAGGGAAGTGGTTTTTCAGAAACATTGAAGTGAATATTACATAGTTCAGGAGAAAACACCAGTGTAGGTCCAACTGCTGGACAGAAAGTGTTAGTAGCTCAGGGTGCATAGCAAAATCTTTCAACAAAAAATAAGCAACTTTAAGGTACTTTTTAAGCACTCAAAAATATTTTCAAGCACTATATAAATTTGACAAAATGCAGAATAATTTTCAAAGACATTACACGATCATGATAAAATAACTAGTTCCTGACAAAGAACTCTTTTTTTAAAATTATATTAGCCATTATAAAATTATCGAGAGATTCATTGGTTCAATATCAAAGGGCGGAAAATGAAGTCTGAAATTGAGAATATCTTGTAAAATGCAGCAGAGTTGCACATGAGAGAGCAATAATCTTACCGAAACCAACTCAGGCGCATGAGCGGACTCACAAGTATTACATCAAACATGTCAAACGATTAGAACTTTCATAGGCTACCGACCGACGGTGAGCCGAAATGGAGTGTGGTTAAATTAATTGTCAAAATGTTGTATAGAACAATGTGAAAAGCAAGCTTTTGCATAATGCATGGCGAGAATAGATATGGTAAAAAAAAAAAATCCAGTTTTCGAAAAGGGAAAATGAAGCACTTTTTAAAAACACCCAATGAAAAAAGCATCTTTAAGGGCTATTAAAAAACAAATATCGAAAACAAGCACCTTTAAGCACGTTTTAGAAAAGCTACGCACCATGATGCTTTGCTACTAGAAAAATTCAGAGCAAACACCACGAAAATTTGATAGCCAAACATACCAGACTATTAAGGCTGCATAAAAATTTTATTTCAATTTAGACACAGAATCCAATTTTTTTTTATCAGTTATGTCATATTTTAATACATATAGGTGCCATAGTTAAAATTAAGAAAAAAATAACAAAAACAAATTTGTATGGAAAAAAACAGACTTCTAAGTACCTCAAAAATACATTAATTTATTTAAAATATACATTTATTCATTTTCCTAGCCTTTAGGGTACTGCAGATAACCCCGTGTCAGAATTGTGGCGACACGCAGGGCTCGAAAAACCACTCGTCCTCGGCGGTCAAATATCCCTAGCGGACAACAAATGCTTCGAAGCCGACGTCCAGGGACAACCGTTTTCCCGTTAATGTTCGTTATACATTTTAAAATTTAGTTATCTTACAAGAGCCTCACTTCTAAAATGACCATCTAATCTAGAAATCCCGTTAATTCCATTGTCAGACCAAATGCGCATGCTCACGTAATCGGTAAACAAAAGAAAAGTTGCTCTGTGCATGTGCACAGGGGCGGATTAAGCATACGCGGGGCCCTAGGCCATTCAAATTTTTGGGGTTCTTAAATTAAATTTTTTTGCCTATATTTTTTATTTATTCAAATATAAAAGTATTTATATATCTTTTCATTTAAGAAAGCACATTTAAAATTAAAATAAATAATAAATTAAATTTTACTTTATTTTTATAAATTAGAACTAAAAAATAATCATGACATTTTGAAAAATCATTGTTTTTCTTAATTTATTTTCAAAAAATTCATTTTAAGGGGGCCTAATGGGTAATAAGGACCTGCATTTGGACTTCGAACGAAGAAATTAACAATTCTGGTATTAAACAAGAAACGTTGAACATCTAACCTAAATGGAAAACCCCTTTCTGTGCCTCTGTAAATCATTGGCTTGATTGTGGAACTGGCAAACGTCATATTCCATTCATTTAAAAAACGCAGTACCCTCAGATAAATTGACATTCCAGATAACTTGACCTTTGTCACTTAAATTATTTCATAAAGGAAATACTAGGTTACTATTAGTAACCTAGTATTTTTTTTATTACTGTATAATGTAATTCTAGTAACTAGTAATTAATTGTGCATTTTATATAAACGTTTGCAATAAATAAGCGAAAATTATATTTTTACTTATTTAGAAGCTACGGGTTAGTTTCAAAGGAGGACGGGTAAAATTTTGGACTTTTTTCCGAGCCATGGCGACACGGTAACTAGTAATTAATTGTGCATTTTATATAAACGTTTGCAATAAATAAGTGAAAATTATATTTTTACTTATTTAGAAGCTACGGGTTAGTTTCAAAGAAGGACGGGTAAAATTTTGGACTTTTTTCCGAGCCATGGCGACACGGCAACATTGTCGCTGAACGCTACCGAGTTATTGCAGAGAAAGATTTTTCCTTTGGGAAGACAAAAATTCTTTTGATATTCAAAAGATGGATTTCTCAAGCATCGGCTAAAAAAAAATTCTCATGATTTTTCTATTCTCATTTGAGAATAATGAAAACTAAAGAATAATGAAGTAAAAAATTTGGTTTTCTTTTCTGCAGAAATTTTCATTCTACTTTTTTTTAATGCAGTTATTACTATTGATTTTCACATAGCTTTTAAAATCTGATATTTTTAATACAATATTATTTATTGCAAAAACTGAATCTTAGAATGAAAACAAGCTTTTAGTAACCCCTTTGGGAAGAGTCCGATTCGCGTGATTTCACAGTCGATCTTTTTTTATCGATAGTTATTACTACCAGGGGTCTGTCTAGGTTCTTTTTGAAGGGTACCTATTTTGTGAAAATTTAGACATAATTTGCAAAATTTAAAAGTTATACTAAAAATTCAACACAAAAATATAGTAAAATAAGAAAATATTTTCAAAAATAATTAAATATTTTTCGAAAATATGTTAAAAGTATTTTGTGAAATTCCTAAAATTGAATTTGTGAACGTACCGCTAAACGGTAGTAAATTCGGCCTGGACAGACTTCGGATTTCACAATTTTTTAAATTATTCTTTTAATGTGATGATGACTTACAAAATGAGAAAAAGGAAATAATTAGTGTGTTTTTCCAAAACAAAATATCACCTATAATATTAGAATAAAAAATATTGAACTTAAAAAATTATTTAATTTAATCCGAATAGTTATTTTTCTTCTTGAAGTTGATGTTTTTGTTACTTGTATATTTGTTATTTTGAAAAGTATCTTGCAGAATGATCTTAGTATTAAAGAGATATGGTGCAGAAAGTCCGAAAAAATTCTGCTACAAGAGCAGATAATTTCCCAGACATTTCTCTGATTTCTTTCAAATTGATAAAATTTTAGAAATTTTCTATTCTATAATAGTAAAAATTTACATAATAGTTAAATTTATTAGTAATCTGACAGTAAAATGTATTTAAGAGAAAATTACACATGCAAAATAGTGGAAATTTTTCATTTCAGTTTTTATCTGGACAATGTTAAAAATAAAACAACTTATGAGTGGAATTATAAATTGTAGCATAGCTCAAACGCGCGCTAATCACTGAAGCCGGCAGTCTCCCTGTCTAGGGCCGGAGTGTTTTTTGCTGTTAAGCCTAAATCCATGAAATTACCGAAATATCAATGTGTCGTTGAATAATGTTCTGTAGAGTATTTAAATGGCATATGCTTTATAGATATTTTACACATTTTATTTTCATTATGTACATACCATTTAATAACTTTTAACATTATATATCTGGAAACTAAATATACGACTAAAAATTCTTTTTTCGTATGAAAAATTTGAAAACACTAACATTCCACAAGAAACTGGACGGCAAATCGAAATACCCAACGTTGTAGCGGAAAAAAAAAATCCCTGCTTACAGTAAACAAATACCACGTGCAAATTTAAAGAGTTGTCATAAACCATACCATTCATAAACATTCCTTTCTCCTTCATTCCTTCCCCCTAAAAACCATGTGTATGTGAGTCATAATACTCCATTTTGAGTAGAAGGTCAAATCTAAATGCATCTGAAACCATATGGACATACAATGCCATCTTCTGGCAAAAATTATATTTTTTAAAACATTCCAGGACACTGGCACTGATGGGTGAGGGAAAATGAACGAGAAAATGCTCTTGCACGCCTGCGTGTCGGCCGGGAAGTGAGTGTGTTTCTTGCTGGCACGTACAGGTGACAGTCAACGTGAAAGGGTAAGAGAAGTCCATTTTGTTTTAATTAGATTCTTAATGAAAAGAATCTAAATAAAAACATTTTTTTATTTTTATTAAAGATAAAATTAAAAAGTTCTTAAATGCGACTTTTAGCAGACACAAGAAGAAAATAAAAGAAAAAGTCTGAAAAATCTATCAACTGTAATCATGATGGAATTGTAACAAGCTGTTAAGCTTTACATATCTATATATCATGATTCTATATAATCATGATAAATTAATAATATAGTTAAGAATATAGATTAGAAAGTTCAAAAATTTGGAAGAACCTTATTCTTACCTTTGAAAACATATTATGTTAAAATTAAAAGTTTAGATAGAAAAAAAAAAAAAACCGTAGAGCAGCTATTAAATATTTTTTATTTAATTTATTTTAATGATAAAGACAATATCAGAATTAATTATTTGAATCAGAATATTATGTATAATTTGTTTTAAAGATAAGTGATTCATTATTTAGCAGTAGCTTTTTTTTTTAATCACATACTTCATTTTTCCTATGCATTTAGTTCATTTATATTATTTTTCTTCTTTTAAAATCAGATTACTGAAATGTTTTACTAGATATAAAAAGTTAAATTTACAAAACATTAAAAAAAGTTAAATTTACAAAGAAATACATGGAAGATATGCATAATTAAATTTTCTTAGAATAATAGTGTGTTAGTAAGAAAGTTTAAATTGAACAACACACAAGAGCTACAGCTAAAAATAATGACATAACTTAGACAGTAAAACTGATCATATAAACCCTATATGAAAGAAAAAAAGCCTTTTAAATTTACAAAGTTAACCTCTTCTTAAGCTACAATGAAAAATTCAAATTGCATACACCCGATCTCGACCATTATGAATCTATACATTTCTGAGTAATTTTGAATAGTTTTCATACATTCTGAAAACTGTGATCGAATAATTTTGGCAGTGAGGTCATTTTTTTCCAAAAAATTGTAAGTTATATATAAAAAAAAAAATTGTTAGAAAGTAATAAAAAAAGGAACACCTGTAGCATACAAAGAAATTATAATAAATAACTTAAATTTTATTTCTTTGAATAGGTTGTACCTGTTTGCACGGCCTTGTGACAAGCAGAACTTTTGGTGTTTATTGCTTTGGTTTGCATAATGGGCTTACACCAAACAGTTTTATTTTTAACTGACTTAGGAGCAGGCGGTTGAATGATGACTTCCCTCATGACTTGTGAACCTTGTGAGTTGGGCTGCACAACCGGAACAGATGGAGATGTCACAGTAGAAACCTGAGTCTGTAAATACATTTTTCAGTGATTATTAAAATTAAGTTTTGAATAATAATAAAATCAGATAAAAATGTAATATACACTAATAAAAAAATAGAAGTGCAATAAAACTTTTGTTTATTATCATAGAGTTTATTGGATGAAGCATTTAGTTTAATATTTATTACCAAATACAGTCAAACCTCGGTGCAGCAAACCTTCAAGGGACCGGAATTTCGTCTAACTCTAACCAAGACTTCACTATCCGCAATCAATTTTAATTAATGGTCACATACTCCCCTCATTTATTACACATTATTAAAATAAATGACCCACAAAATGAAATACAAAAATGACTGAAAAATAATACATAGTATCAAATTTTATGACTCTTCATCTTGCGTACAAAAATAAAATAGTAATCTTTAGCTGACGAACAATCCTCAACATCAGATGTGGAAACACTTCCTGTCTCTCAGATAATTTTTCCTGAATTCATGTTATTCCACTTTTTAAACCTGTCTGTCCAGCCATTCGAGCAAATAAAATTAAACTCACCCAATTGCTTAGCAAATTCATCGGTTTTGACTCGAAGCATTTGTCCAGATACTGGATTGGGACTTCTTTGAATGTTGAACCAATTCAATAATGCTAATCAATAATGAAGCAAACAAGAAAAAATGCTTGTTGCTACATTCCATGCTATAGATAGTTTTAAAAATCGGTACATGTTATTTATTTTGAAGTAGAAATTTTCAAAATTATTATAAAAAAAAAATGAAGAAAATCAATCGAAGATAGAAAAAAGTTCATAATATACAATTTCCTTTCTTTTTTGGTTCACTATATTCACAAAAAATAACATGTTATTTTTCGTGGCTATAGTGAACCAAAGGCATGGGAGCGAATATTTCGTTCACTATATCCAGGACTTCACTATAAACCATGTCCACTATAGCAGGGTTTGACTGTATATGAAATATTTTTGTACCTTGAAATAAAATGATGGTAGAATTAAATATAACTATTCAAAATTTTTTCCCTATTTATCATTTAATATGACTTACATTGCATTTAATAAAGACTTAACCTTTAGATAAACTACCCCCAATTGAGTACAAATAACTCAACTAGAAAATGGCTTTTAACTCAACTAGAAAATGGCTTTTAAGTAATGTAAATAAATTTTTTTTATTGTTGTTACTTAGTTTCAAGAAAGAGAATACATTTGATTTCTTTACTGTCCTGTAATAATAAGAACTTTTCAAACAATACGTCATAGTCTAACTGCAGAATTATTTAAGCACAGTGATGTGCAGAAACAACAAGACAACCTGACAGCCAATCAACAGCCTTTTATTTTAAACTAAGTTATATAGACAAATATTCACATATGATTGTTAAAAGAAAAGAAAAAAAACACATGTGTGCTGAAGCAAAGAGTTTCTCGTGGAAACTACAACATGACAAAAATTAAACAAGTTAGCACATATCAGATTGATGCAGAAAAACAATAATATATAGGGCATCTGCTACATTTTAGATTTTCAAAATCATGACCTTCCACGATTAATTGCGAGAACTTTTCACGATTCAACGAAGTTATTATTTTCTTCTGACAAAAACAGAAGAATAAATTTAAAAAGCTTTATAATAGCATTCATTGAAATGATAGGTATCACCAAAACTGTTCTACTTATAGATTTTTAATTTAAAAAACAGAGTAAAGAAAGAGTTGAAGCAATAAAATAAGTGAAAAAAAAACACAAAAGCAAATAATTTTTTTTCTTTATTTTTCCTGATAAATTTTATTATAAAGATACTTTTCTTGTTCATCAGAAAGGAAAATATACTCCTGATTCTTCTGTTCTCATTTCGGAATTAAAAAAAACTTTCCAATGACTGGTTTGCTTCAGATAGAATTTAAAATTGATAAAGTAAAAAATAAATAACAAAAATTCTGAAATCACAGAAGTTTAAAAGATAATTTGCTCTAGAAATGATTTATTTTCTTTCATTTTTTGACAGAACACCATAATTTTTTAAGATTTTTATAAAAGCATTTTATGTTTCAACACCATTAAATTGCAGGGGGGGGGGGAATCACATTTTAAAAATTAGATTTTTTGGAGACCTAAATCCATAATCTTCCAGGTGGGCAGATACCCTGAATATAGATACCTGCTAACCTCAGAAGGTTGGAATTAGGAAGATTAAAGTTAAAAAATAGGAAGATTTTGGGCAAAACATAAATTTTCATACTTAAAATACTTTAAAAAAAGTCTTTAAATAACCTTTTTCTTTATAATTTTCCACAGGATAATGAAAATTATTTACGGAACAGAAATTCCCTTATTTTATTGAATGAAAAATTAAACAATCATACAAATTCCAAATTATGCCTAAGTTAGTTTTTAATGGCAATTAAAAAAGAAATAATAAAATGAACATGCGTAGGATTTAAGCTACATAACAAAGATTAAAGATAAAATATTTTAACTACTATTCTTAAAAGAAAAATTAATAATATTGCGAAATTTAAATTAAAAAAAAAAATCAAGTTCAAAATGCAAATATTAATACAAAGAGTTAATGAATATAAGAAAGTGTTTATATAGTTGAAATTCAAGCAATATATTTTGGATTAAGAATTTAAAAACATAATTTCAAGACGTATATGGTTTTTTAAAAATAAGATCAAAATTTTAATAATGAAACTTTTTCAGAATTATTCGACAGATCAACTGAAGCTTTGCAACAAGAGAGCTTAACAAACTTCCACAATTTGGCTATCAGATAATTTGCTAGGTTTAGATTGCATATTTTTCAGAATAAATTCCACTGTTGTGAACATAAGATCATTTAACTACCATATATGTATAACACATTCTCTTTAGCATTTTCAATAGGTATTCCAAATAGCTTGGTAAACAAATTCAAGTGAATTTTTTTCTTATTGTTTCAAAGACTCCCCATCTGCTCAAGAGCACGGGGGGAGTTTTTCTGAGAATTACCTATTTTGTGAAAATTTAGATGTAATTCGTGAAAATTAAAAATTATATTAAAAACTCAACACAAAAATATTGTAAAGTACGAAAATATTTTCAAAAATTGTCACTTCAAAAAAATATCATTTATGACAGGTAAATTTCTATATATTTTTCCCCATATAAAAAAAAATAATGTTGCTATTGTATAATTGTGGTTTTAAAATTGCATCCAATTTTAAAATTCCAAAAAAAATTATTGTTCATAGTAAAATTTCAACTTGAATATAATAAAAACTTGCATTTAACAGTACTAGCACTAAAAGTTACTTTCATTACGAGAACATTTTCGACTATAGGTCACACAGAAAAAAGTTTCACTGCTAAAATTTTTTTTAAAATAAACAAAAAAAGCTTAAGCTTTTTATAAGAGAACTTTTTAAAATTATTTATCTAAAAATGAAGTCATTTTCCTAGGGTTAATTATTCTGTTAGAATAAATTTACACAGTGTTTAAGATAATGTTCGAATGTTTACTTTCTGTAAAGTTTATTACAAAGTGAGATCCTTGTTGTTTCATTTTAAAAAACTCAGCTAAAAAATCTCTTTGATAGGGTGTCAGCGACTGGTTAGGTTTACCACATTGCAGTACCTGACCGAACATGTGCCACCTTTTCGTAAAAGACATTTGGCAAAAAAGCTGCTCTATTCCCTGAGGTTGCAACGAAAACAGGATTTTCATGAGAGCTTGCTTTATTAAAAGTATTTTGTGAAACTACCGTTTTGTGAAGTTACCGATAAACGGTAGTATATATACCCTGGACAGACCCCTGAAGAACCATAAACAGTAACTGTAAAGGCAAGAGTTATGTCAAGAGAAGTAGCAGGAAGGGTAGCATCATCACAAACAAACAGTTATTCACAAGCATTTTATAGTTTGTCTATGGTAAAAAATCCTCTCGCCATAAAGTCTGAGACCGTCTGCTGCTATGGAAACAAGAATAGAGCATTTCAGTGAGGGTAGTTTCTCTTCACTCTAGAGCTAAATTATTCCCTTTCTCTCGCCGACCAAATTCTGTAATAAACAGTGACCCAACATCCCTGCTTGAAATAGTTATACCTCGTTATAGGCTAGACAGGGTGTGTAGCCAAATCTCTGAGCAAAAAATAAGCACCTTTTAAGCACTCAAAAATATTTTTAAGCACTATATACATTAACAAAATTATTCTCAAAGACTTTACATGATCATGATAAAATAACTAGTTTCTGACAAAGAATTTGTTTCTTCATTATATTAGCCATTATAAAACGATCGAGAGATTTTCCAGTTTTATACAGAAGGTGGAAAATGAAGCCTGAAATAAAAATATCTTGCAAAATGCAGGGTAACTGTTACATTTTAGATTTTCAAATTCATGACTTTTCATGACTAATTCCAAGAATTTTTCATGACTTTACGAAGCTACTATTTTCTTCGACAAAAACACAACAGTAAATTTAAAAAAGCACCATAATAACATTAATTGAAATTAAAGGTGTAACCAAAGCTGTTATATTCTGTATCTTCATATTTATAAATTTTTAATTTAAAAAACAGAGAAAATAAAGATTTGAAGCAATAAAATAGCTCAAAAGTAATTTTTTTCTCTTTTTTCCGCAGAATTATATTCTAAAGATACTTTTCATGTTCAAGGGGAAAGGAAAGAAATACTTCCGATTTTTCTGTTCTCATTTTGGAATAAAAATAATTGGCCAATCACTTCAAATTGGCCAATCACTTCATTTTATATTTTAAAAAATTATGAAATCACAGAAGTTTAAAAGATAATTTGCTCTAGAAATGATGACGTCCCCCCATTTTTTGAAAGAACACAATTTTTAAAGAACATGATAAAAACATTTTATATTTTAATAAAATATGACTATGAGTGGGGAGTTTGTTACAAATTCAGATATTCAGAACACCAAGAGATTGGGGGAGGGGTAAATTCTAGTTTAATAATTAGATTTTTTGGCGACATAAATTCATGACTTTCCAT